GGAAGGCTGAGGCGGAAGGATCGCCAGAGTCCAGCAGGTCAAGGCCGCGGTGGCCGGGAGCGGCCACTACACTCCAGTCTGGGTGACAAAGTGAGACTCCAACTCAAAAAAAATAAAAATAAAAATAAAAATCAAAGGATGATATGGGAAGTTTTCATTGAGAAGATGGCATTTGACCCGGGCCTTGAAAGACCACGAGAAGGGAAGAGGGTGGCAGGGAGGTATTTTGGGGTGGATGGTATAACCGACAGCAGGAAGTTGGAAAACACAGGAATTGAGCAAATGGTGGGGTGTATAGGGCGTGTCATGGGTGGAGGGGGATGTAGGAGATGAGATGGGAAAGAACAGCAGATGGCAGAGAGAGTGGTGAATGCCACACTGGGATGTTTAACTTTGTCCTGGAGACCTGGGGAGCAGGGATGCTTTTGGAACAGGAGTGTGATGGCACCATTCGTGTAAGCTAGAAAGATCTCTCTGGTGTCAGCACAGAAAAAGGAGAGAAGACACAAGACCATAAGGTCTGAGTGGGAGGCTGTGGCGATAATCCAGGTGAGAGCTCAGCCTGCTCACTGGTTTTTATTTCTTTCTTTATTGTTTATTGAGTGGAGTCTCACTTTGTTGCTCAGGTTGGAGTGTAGTGGCATGCTCATGGCCACCACATCCTCGACCTGCTAGGCTCCTTCTGCCTCAGCCTTCCAAGTAGTCCCAAAATCAGGTGCGTGCTACCATGCTCGGCTTATTTTTTGAGTTATTGTAGAGACAAGGGCTCGCCAAGTTGCCCAGGCTGGTCTCGAACTCGTGAGCTCAGGCAATCCTCTTGCCTTGGCCTCCCAATGTGCTGGGATTGCAGGCTTGAGCCATTGTGCCTGGCCTTGCTCACTGGTTTTTAAATAGCCATAAATATGCACACACACACACACACATACACACACACACGCCAGACACGGTGGCTCACACCTTTGGGAGACTGAGGCGGAAGAACTGCTTGAGCCCAGGAGTTTGAGACCAGCCTAGACAACATAGGGAGACCTATCTCTACAAAAAATAGAAAAATTAGCTGGGTGTGGTGGAGCGTTCCTGTAGTCCCAACTACTTGGGAGGCTGAGGCAGGACTGCCTGAGCCCGGGGGTGGGGGGGTCAAGGCTACAGTGAGCTGTGATCATGCCACTGCCCTCCAGCCTGAGTGACAGTGAGATCCTGACTCAAAAAAAAAAAAAAATATATATATATATATATATGCTTTATAAACTTAAAGTCAAATAGGATATTGCAAAAAGGTAGTTTCCTAATTGTTGTACTACGGCTTGCAATGATCTCAGCTCTTGAGGGTCCTGACATCTATTGTATTGGTGGGTGGAAGTGCCATGTAATGGCCTGATGTTGCTCATCTCTCCCCAGCTCCACATTCAGTGAAATCAGCCATGGTGAGAGAATTTACACCATAGGAATCAGTAAAAGCTGCAAATCAGGGCTCTTTCCCCTGAAGTGCTGGCTGCTAGATGATCACCAGTACATCGCTGGATTGACCGACTCATGGATGGGAGAATGGACAGAAAAGTGACTGGAGACGGTGCTTTGTGCTACCCTCCAGGAAAGCAAGGGAAAGAAACTGAAATAAAACAATCTTGGAGCCAAAGGCCAGAGGCAGCCCCTGCAACAGAGGAACCTGAGGACCTCTTTCTGTCCCCTCCCCCACCCATTCCCCCTCACTTTAGCTCCGCTGTCTCCACAAGCTGGTGCAGCCTCAGAGTGTCCTCTCGGAGGTCCTGGTAAAGGGACTCATCCTTCATGATGAGCAGGTACAGATCCTGGGGAGAGGAGGGCAGAGAAGATGAAGGCAGAGGATTCATCCCAAGGACCACCCTCTCCAAAAGCTGGGCAAGGTCTCCATGCCTTTGAGCACAGGAGAAACATATAAGCTAAGGCCTACTGGCATCTTTGCTTCCAGGTAGCCAGCTTGAGGAATATGGCTCCTTTAAAGCAGCCCCCTTCTGGAGCTAATGGCCTGCTTACCCCCGCTTCTCTTCCCCCAAGCCCACCTTGATGATGTGGCCAGCCCCCTCTTCCTCCTGCAGCAGCCCCTGGTAGGTGTCCAAGAAATGGAGAAGCATGGCTAGACAGGCCTGCTTCCGGCCCAGCCCCTCGGGGCCCTCCATGCCCCCTGCCCGAACAAAGCTGACCCCTAAGTCAAGAAAAATCCCTGGGAAGGAAGACCCAGGAACTGAGAAAGATGGAAGGTCAAACTGCCCCTGAATATTCTCTAGATTTGGGGCCAGAGAGAAAGGAGGTTTAGGGGTCCTGGAGCCAAGACTTTCTCAGTCCCCAGCCCAGGTTTTTGCTTAGAGTGGGTAATGGTGGCACCCACTTGACCACCTGACCTCCTGCCTGTTCGATTTTCACTTGAGGATACCATGCCCAGACTATCCAACTTCTGGCCAGTCCAGGGCCCGGAGCTCACTGTGTGGCTGATTAAAGCCGACAGTGCTTACCGCAAACCTCACTATACCTCACTGCAAGGCCTGATGTTCCTAAGAGAGCCTATGACATTCTGCTCAGTGGTCTGACATTTACAATTAGGTCCTAAAATAACTCAGTGAGAGGCCCTATGCTTACATGAGACCCTATGAATAGCCCAGCCAGTGGCATGTCTCTAGCAGACCCTACTGTTTACATCAGAGCCTGTAATAACTCACTGGGCAACCAGATGTTTAGAGCAATAATTCAGGGGGGCAGAGAGGCACCCCTAATAGAGTAATAACACCCTATGTTTGTACAGGGCCCTACAGTCTCCAAAGCACTCCCACATCTGCTGTCAGGTTGATCTTCACAGCAGCCCTTTGGCGAGGCAGGGCAGGTGAATTTTACCTCCATTTTACAGAAAAGGAAACTGCGGCCCCAGGAGGTTAGGTGACCTGCCTAAGGTCACACAGCTGGCGAGGAGAAAAGCTGGGGCTGAAGCCCAGGTGTGTTTTCTTCTGACCTCCCCTTTTACAGGCTCCACAAAAGGATATTACTGGTGAAGCTCCTGCAGAAATTTCTCCGTCGGGAGGAAGAGGGAATGGGTGAGGACGATGTCATCCAGCAGGATATCTGTGGAGATTAGTGGGTGCCATGGATATCAGGAGGGCATTTCCAGAGCCAGACTGGAAAGGCAATACTTCCCTCTCTGGGCCCCGAGGGCAAGGTCTCTTTAGCCAGGCTGGAGCCCCAGCCACCTGCCCAGTCATGCTCTGCACACGCGCACACATGTGTGTCAAGGTTCTGGGCAGCCGCTGCGGGGGTGGGGTTGGCAGCTGCTAAGGCAGCTGAAGGGAAGGGGGGGCGTCCCTTCGCTGGCCATGTGTACTTCTCTCCAATGTATGTGGGAAGTTGGTCAGAGAACACACCAAGCTTGAGATCTGCCCAAAAAAAGAAGAAGCCTACAGAAGGGTCTCTAGAACTTCCAGACACAAGGGTTAGCATCAGTGGTGTGTGTGTGTGTGTGTGTGTGTGTGTGTGTGTGTCCCTCCACCCCTCTCTCCTCCCTGCCTAACGGCTTTGAGTACCAACTAAGCAGGTGAGACTCAGGCCCATTAAAAGAGAGAAACTGCCATCACTTTGATCCTAGAGCCTTTAAATAGAAACCCTGTGTCCTTTGGGTGCCCAGAGTCAGAAGGGTTAATGATGGAATGGTGAAGGGGAGTGGCTCCTCTCACCACCCCTTTCCCCTCCACACCCCTGTCTGGGCCTGGCTCAGCCAGTCAGCCAGGTACAAGGTCGCCCTGACTTGCAGCCAGCCTGGGGGTGGGGCAGGGCCACCTGGCACACACAGACAGGCAAGGTGCAGAGGAGCCAGGTGTCCTTACCAGGACAGGTTAGGGCCAGGTCCCCAGGAGGCACTGCCCCAGGACAAAACCAAGGCTGCCAATGGCCCTTGGCTCCCCGTTCCCAGGTGGCCAATTCTAGCCATGAAGGTGCAAGAGGAGAGCCAGTGCCTTGTCTACTTTAAATACTTCATTTCACAAGTGAGAAACTGAGGCCCAGAGCTGAGGGACTTCCCTGGAGCTGGGAATAAAAACCAGAATCCCCAGTCTTTGTTATTTTCTCAAAAGGCTGGAGGCAAGCCGAGTGTCAGGGGAGAACCTAGTGGTCAGTGGGGCTGCTTAGACGTTTGAGGCTTTGGCTCAGCGTAGGGTACCTTCTGTAAGTTCCCTCCTCCCACACACCCTGGGAGGAAACCAAGATGGCTTGAGAACGTTGGCTTTATTGGAGAATATCAGAGTGGCAGCGATGCTGATTCTCATTCACTCTGGGACTGGTTTGGAGTTTCCCAAACCAGTTACTGTGGGAATCTAGTCTGCCAGATAATATGTGTGACAATTCAGGAGCCTTGCCCAAGGGAGACTGAGTGGAGTGTGTGGCACCAAGCCCCTGTGGAAGGGGAAAGATAGTTTCTCTCTTTTCCTCCCTGCCCGGCTCCATACTGTGTTCTTTTTTTTTTTTTTTTTTGAGTTGGAGTCTCACTCTGTCACCCAGACTGGAGTGCAGTGGCCGCTCCCGGCCACCGCAGCCTCGACCTGCTGGGCTCCGGCGACCCTTCTGCCTCAGCCTTCCGAGTAGCCAGAATTACAGGCATGCGCTACCACACCCGGCTGATTTTTTTATTTATTGTAGAGATGAGGTCTCGCCTGCCCAGGCGGGTCTCGAACCCGCGGGCTCAGGCAATCCACTCACCTCAGCCTCCAAAGGCACGGGATTACAGGCTGAGCCACCGAGCCGGCTCATACTGTGTTCTTAAAGGGAGCAGAGAGCCCTCAGCTCTAGCCCTCAGCTCCGGGGATGGGGATGAGGAACAGAGGTGCCTGACATCCTGTCTAGACTCTTTTTCTCACAGAGCTGAGCCAGAGTAAAGGAAGAGGAACACGGGGCGGAGTGGGGCGTGGTGGGGGAGGTGTGCTAGAGGGGCCTCAGTTTGGCGTCTGTGTCTTCCATGATAGGCTCTGGTCCAGTGCACAGCCTCCCAGGGAATGCATCATGGAGACAAGGTGTGTGGTGTAGGTGGGAAGTTATGGTTAGGAGAGCTGTGTGTGTCTGATATTTTTCTAATTAAATCCAAAAGGTGTCAGCTCCCCTGGGCGACTACAGCCTGAGCCAAAGGAAAGGACCCAGGGCTGGAGAAAAATCTTGGAGAGTGGAGCCCCACTTCACACTCCTAAGTTGGGGTTCCTTGCAGAGACCTGAGAGCAAAGTGGGAAAGGGCCCATGGTTAGGGCCTCAGCTCTTGCTCCCAACCCTCACACCCTCCTGGGCTTAGTACGATGCCTAGAGCCAGACCTATGAGACCCCCAAGCCTTCTAACTCAGCCACTAATCGGCAGTCTGGGGCCTCGGTTTCTCCAGGGCTGCTTAGTAGGGGTGCTGGTAGGGAGTGGTGAAATGGTATCATCGTTGAGGGAATAAGCCTCTCAGGGTGTGGTTATTATTTCTTAACGAGGCCGTGTGCTGAGGCCTGCCACTGGCAGGGTAGGAGCCAGAGAGGCTCAGAGCCCAGTGGATGCTGCAGGGTCTCGATGCCTGCTCAGTCACCTCCCTCTTAGCAGACACCCTCCAAGGGCACCCCCACGTAAAACGCTATCCCCCCACCAAACTGCTAAGGACAATGCATCTCTTCACTCAAGCCCCAAAGGCAGCCTGGGCCCTGTGCCCGTCCGGCACTGCCCTGCTTAGTGGGCTTCTAATCGGAGTCCCGGACTCCCGTGAAGGTTTTCAGGGCTGGGGCACCTCTGGAGGGTGGCATGGCTGCGCCGGGCAGCTTCCATCTTGGCCCTAATTTGGGGCCACAGGACGAGGTTGTCATCAAGGACTCATGGGCGTCTGTCGCTACAAGGTCCAGGGAAAAGGAAGGGAGGCTCAAGGAGAGGAAGAGGCTCAGCTTCTCCTTTGGCCGTGGGTGAGGCTGCTTCAGGGAGGAAGGTGGACACTGCCGCTCCTCTTCCGCTGGAGGGGCCAGCCTCAGCCAGGCCCCTACCCCACCTCCACGGACCATGCACCCCACAGCCCAGCCCCGGCACAGCCCAGCCTCAGCCACCCCCACGCTGCAAGGGCAAGGAAGAGGAGCCAGGGGCACCCCCGTGCTCCGGGATGGATGAGCCCGCCGACTCCTTACCTGAGGCGGCGCTGTCCCTGGTGGCCGCACCGGCCAGGCGCTCCAGAACCCGGTCCAGAAGATGCTCCGGCCGCTCGGGGGCGCCCAGAGGGGCCCAGGGCGGCGAAGTCAAGGGCTCGCCCGGGGACAGCTCGTCTGAGGAGTACGAGGAAGGGGAGCGCAGGGCCCCCCCTCCCCCGAGCGGCCCGGGCCCCGGCACCTCCTCCAGCTGCAGCCAACAGGGCCCCCCGCTGCCGGGCTCCTCCACGACTCCCGCCGGCTC